CTCCTCCCTGTCCATGGAAAAATCGGGATCAGCCTCGGGATCCACCCTGGGATCCACCCTGGGATCCATCCCTCAAAAAATCCCCGTTAAAATTGGGTTGAAATTGGGTGTAAAGTGGGTTTGGGAGCTGGAAAAATGGGAATTCCCAGCTCAGATCCACAAATTCCTCCTCCCTGTCCATGGAAAAATCGGGATAAAATGGGATAAATCGATCCCTCAAAAAATCTCAGCTTTAATTGGGGAAAATCCTGGAATTCTTTGAGAATTTTTTTGTAACTTTTTGGGAATGTTTTTGGAACTTTGTGGGAATTTTTTGGTAACTTTTTGAGATTTTTTGGGAATTTTTGGGGAAGATTTTGGTTAACTTTTTGGGATTATTTTGGTAACTTTTGGGGAACTTCTTGGGATTTTTTTGGTAACTTTTTGGGAATTTTTTGGGAACTTTTAGGGAATTTTTTGGGCATTTTTTGGTAACTTTTTGGGTATTTTTTGGGAATTTCTTTGGGAACTTTCTGGGAATTTTTTTGGGGATCAGAGGCTGACCTGGGCTCGCTCCGCTCCTGCGCTTCCCGGTACAGGAACACCAGGCTGAGGAAATGCACCAGGAATTGCAACAACACCGTCAGCACCGTGTACAGGTTGAAAATGTTGGGAAGAGGCCTCTCCTTGGAAAGAGTCTTCAGGGGCTGGAAGAGTTAAAAAAAAACGGGAATAAAAACCAGGTGAATAAAAACCCATAAACCCCATTTTTTTAGGTGAAAAAAACCCCCCCGATTCCCTAATTTAGGATAAATCCCATGTAATTCCAATCTCCCACCTTGGACTCGGAGATGAAACTCTGGGATAATCCCAGATCCAGGACGATCCCAACCTTCCTCCTTTGGAAGCTGCAATTTTGTGACCCCAAAAACGATTTTTTTTTTTATTTTTTTCCCTTTTTTTCTCCTACTCCAACCCCTTTCCCATGGAATTCCCATCTCCCACATGGAATTCCCTTGGACTAGGAGATGAAACTTTGGGATAATCCTGGACCCAGGACAATCCCACCCTCCTTCCTTCCAAAACCGCCATTTTGTGAGGCCAAACTCGCTTTTTTATTTTGAGTGGGATTTTTTTTCCTACTCCAACCCTTTTCCCACGGAATTCCCGGAATTACCTTGGACCTGGAGATGAAAAGGAAGCATCCAGCCAGGAGCAGCCCCTGGAGCGTGGCCTGGAGGTCGCTGAATTTGACTCCCTGAAGGAACAGCACGCTCTGGCTGTAGGCCAGCACCAAAGCGTTCAGAGCCAGGATTTTAAACATCTGCAGCGTGGTCACCAGCGTGCAGCGACCCTGCTTGATTACGTGGCAGACTGAGGGGAAAAAACGGGAATTCCGGGAATTAGAGAGTAGGGAAAAGCCAGGGGGGAAAGGGGAGAAAAGGGTGAGGAGGAGTGAGGCCGCCATGAGGGGAAAAAGGGCGGGAAAAGGGTGAGGGGGAGTGAGGCCGCCATGAGGGGAAAAAGGGCGGGAAAAGGGTGAGGGGGAGTGAGGCTCTCGTGAGGGGGAAAAGGAGCGGGAAAAGAGGGAAAAAGGGTGGGAAAAAGAGTGGGAAAAGAGGGAAAAAGGGTGGGAAAAGAGGGAAAAAGGGTGGGAAACGGGTGAGAAAAGGCTGAGGGGGAGTGAGGCCGCCATGAGGGGAAAAAGGGCGGGAAAAGGGTGAGGGGGAGTGAGGCTCTCGTGAGGGGAAAATGAGCGAGAAAAGAGGGGAAAAGGGTGGGAAAAGAGGGAAATAGAGCAGGAAAAGAGGGAAAAAAGGTGGGAAAAGATAGAAGAAGAGCAGGAAAAGAGGGAAAAGGGGTGGGAAAAGAATGAAAAAGGGTGGGAAAAGAGGGAAGAAGAGCAGGAAAAGAGGGAAAAAGGGCAGGAGAAGGGTGAGGGGGAGTGAGGCTCTCGCAAGGGAAAAAAGAGTGAGAAAAGAGGGGTTTATCCCATTCCAATCCCATTCCTGGGGATTTTCCCGGTTTTTCCGGGCTGGGCACTCACTGCACTGGATGGAGGAGAGTTTGGAGGTGAAGGGAGCGGCGATGCTGGCGTCCCCCAGCTTCACCACTGGGGCTCTTTCCTCTTCCAGATCCCGCAGCACCTGGCTCAGCCGCTCCTGCGGGATTGGCGATTCCCAAAAAACCCCGAATCACCCGGAATTCCGGAAAAAACGGGCTCCGAATCCGCCCCGATCCAGGGGGAAAAGCGTGAGTTTGGGATCTTGAGATGGGGTTGAAGGTGCCTTCCCACCTCCAGAATTCCAGGATTTATTTCCTTGTTTATCCCAGATTTCAGGTCCCTTCCAGCCCCAAGAATTCCAGGATTTAGTCCCTGTTTTATGGCACTTCCCATTTCCAGAATTTATTCCATGTTATCCCTTTTCCCACTAGAATTTCCTCTCTTTTTCCCCCCTTTTCCTGCTTAAATTCCCTCTTTTTCCTCCTTTTTCCTGGGAATTCTGGAAAGTTCCCTGCCCACAGATTTGGATTGGATCGGGATCGGATCCATCCCCACCCAACATTCCCAATCCCTAAATCCCTCCATTCCCAGGGCTAAAAATCCCGGGATTAGGGGCAATTCCCACCCTGTGGATGGGCAGCTGCTCCTCCCGCTGGGCCAGGATCCGGTGCTTGGCTCCTCGGGATGAGGGTTTGACATTCCCGGCCGGAATTCCGGCCCTGCTGTCCCCGAGGCCGTCCCGGAGCCGCCGCCTCCGCTCGGGAACGCGCTCCGGAGCGTTGGCCAGCAGGGCCACGCCTGGGAAAACGGGGAAAAACAGGGAAAAATTGGGGAAAAACGGGGAAAAATTGGGGGAAAAATTGGGGGAAAATGGGGAAAAATTGGGGGGAAAATGGGGAAAAATTGGGGGGAAAATGGGGAAAAATTGTGGGAAAGATCAGGCAAAAATTAGGGAAAAACCAGGAATGAAATGGGAAAAATCAGGGAAAATCAGGGAAAAAATTAGGGAGAAAATCAGAGAAAAGAGAGGAAGGGAAAGGAAAATCAGGGATAAAGCAGGGAATAAACAGGAGGAAAACCAGGGAAACGAGGGAGAAAAATCAGAGGGAAAATCAGGGAATTAGAGGGGGAAAATCAGGGATAAATTAGGGAAAATCAGGGAAAAATCAGGGAACATCAAGGATAAATCAGGGAAAATCAGGGAAAAACCAGGAATAAATCAGGGATAAAGCAGGAAATCAGAGGGAAAATCAGGATGAAAAGAAGGGAAAAATCAGGGATAAAATGGGGAAAAAAATGGGGAAACCCAGGGAAAACCAGGGAAAAAACAGGAAAAACCCCCAAGAAAAAACCTGGAATTTCTGATTTCCATTCCTGCTCCCAAAAAAAACCTGGGAAACGCCGGGAGCGTGGCTGGGGTTGGGATTTGGAGGGAAAAACGTTGGGAATTTTGGGAATTTCCTCACCCACGTCGGCGTGTTTGAGCGCTCCCACGTCGTTGGTGCCGTCGCCGCACATGAGGGTGCAGAACCCGAGGCTCTTCAGCGCCGTGATCACGAATTCCTGGGGAAAAAAACGGGAAAAGCTCCCAAAATCCTGGAATTCTCGGCTTGGATTGGGGGGGGATCAAGGGGTGGGAATTTTGGGAATTTGGGGAGGGAATGAGCTCTGGATTTTTCATTTCCAGGTTTCCAAAGCTTTGAAATCCTGGGAATTCAGGGTTTTCCCAGGCCCCAAAATTTGGGAATTCAGGGCTGGAATGAGCTCCAAACTCTTCGGGATCATCCCAGGACTGTCCCCACATTCCCAAAGATCCCAAATCCCAGGAATTCCCATCCCAAAGATCCCAAATCTTGGGAATTCTCATCCCAATGACCCCAAATCTTGGGAATTCCCATCCCAATGACCCCAAATCTTGGGAATTCCCATCCCAATGACTCCAAATCTTGGGAATTCCCATCCCAAAGATCCCAAGTCTTGGGAATTCCCATCCCAAAGATCCCAAATCCTGGGAATTCCCATCCCAATGACCCCAAAATCCCAGGAATTCATAGCTGGAAAGAGCTCAGGATTGCTCAGAATCAAACCAGGGCCCTCCTGCCATTCCCAAAGATCCCAAATCCAGGGAATTCCCATCCCAAAGATCCCAAATCCTGGAAATTCCCATCCCAAAGACCCCAAATCTTGGGAATTCCCATCCCAAAGATCCCAAATCCAGGGAATTCCCATCCCAAAGATCTCAAATCTTGGGAATTCCCATCCCAAAGACCCCAAATCTTGGGAATTCCCATCCCAAAGACCCCAAATCTTGGGAATTCCCATCCCAATGACCCCAAATCTTGGGAATTCCCATCCCAATGACCCCAAATCCCGGGAATTCCCATCCCAATGACCCCAAATCTTGGGAATTCCCATCCCAACAACCCCAAATCTTGGGAATTCCCATCCCAACAACCCCAAATCCCGGGAATTCCCATCCCAAAGCCCCCAAATCTTGGGAATTCCCATCCCAACGACCCCAAATCCCGGGAATTCCCATCCCAAAGCCCCTCACCTTCTGCTTGGGCGCCACCCTGGCGAAGACGCGGATGTGCGGGATGAGCCGGAGGAGCCGATCCCGATCCCGGAGCCGGAGCTGCTCCAGCCCCTCCCCCGTCAGGCACAGCTCGAAGGGATCCGTCAGATCCCGCAGGGAATCCGGGAATGCCGGGAGAGCCACGGATCCGTCCCGGGATCGCCACTGCCAGGGCAGCCCTGCGGGAACGGGAATTCCATGGGAATTCCATGGGAATGCCGGGATCACCGCTGCCAGGGCAGCCCTGTGGGAATGGGAATTCCATGGGAATTCCATGGGAATGCCGGGATCGCCGCTGCCAGGGCAGCCCCGCGGGAACGGGAACGGATCCGGGGGAGATTCCGGAGCCGATTCCAACCCATCTCCATTCCCAGCTCCTCAAATCCCAGAATCCCAGGCATTCCCAACATTCCCGGTCTCATTCCACATCCCCAGAATTCCTCAAATCCCAGAACCCCGTGGGCTTCCACTGTTCCCAATCCCAATATTCCCAATATTCCCAATATTCCCATTATTCCCAATCCCGACATTCCCGACATTCCTGACATTCCCGGTACCAGGTTCCGGTTCCTGCAGGATCAGGACGTTTTCCCGGCGCAGGAAGTGCAGCTCCCATTCCCAATCCCATAATTCCCAATATTCCCAATATTCCCAATATTCCCCCCGGTTCCTGCAGGATCAGGACGATTTCCCGGCGCAGGAAGTGCAGCTCCCATTCCCATTCCCATTATTCCCATTATTCCCATCATTCCCAATCCCAACATTCCCGACATTCCCGATATTCCCGGTACCGGGTTCCGGTTCCTGCAGGATCAGGACGTTTTCCCGGTGCAGGAAGTGCAGCTCCCATTCCCATCATTCCCAATCCCATTATTCCCATCATTCCCATCATTCCCAATCCCGATATTCCCAATATTCCCAATATTCCCATTATTCCCATCATTCCCAATCCCGACATTCCCGACATTCCCGGTACCGGGCTCGGGTTCCTGCAGGATCAGGACGCTTTCCCGGCGCAGGAAGTGCAGCTCCCGCGCCACGTGGCACGCCGTCAGCGGGCTGTCCCCGGTGATCATCACCACCTGCAACACCGGAATCCCGGCAATTCCCAAGAATTCCCGGGAAAATCCGCGTTTTCCCGCTTTTCCCATGGCATTTTCCCGCTTTTCCCATGGGATTTTCCCGCTTTTCCCATGGCATTTTCCCGCTTTTCAGCCTCAGTTCTTTTCCCCCCTCGTTTCAATCTGGGAATTTCTGAGTTTTCCACTTGGATTTTTCTGGTTTTCCCTTTGGAATTTTCTCTCTTTTCTACTTGGAATTTTCTCTCTTTTCCCTTCGGAATTTTCTCTTTTCTACTTGGAATTTTCCCTCTTTTCCCTTTGGAATTTTCCCTTTTCCCTTTGGAATTTTCCCTCTTTTCCCTTTGGAATTTTCCCTGTTTTCAGCCTGAATTTTTTCCTCTTTTCCCATTAGAATTTTCCCTCTTTTCCCTTTCGAATTTTTCCTCTTTTCAGCCCAGAATTTTTCCAGGTTTTCATCCTGGAATTTCCCAGATTTCCAGCTGGAATTTTCCCACTCTCCAGTTTGAATTTTTCCCAGTTTTCAGCCTCGGATTTTCCCCTTGGAATTTTCCTGGGTGTTCGACTGAAATTCCCCAATTTCCACTCTGGAATTTTCCCTCTTTTCCAAGAGGGATTTTCCCGATTTTCAACCTGAATTTTCCCCCCTTTTTCCACTTGGAATTTTCCCGTTTTTCACCCCTGAAAATTCCCAATTTTCCCCCCTGGAAATTCCCCCATTTTCAACCCTCCCCAAAACCCGGGAATTCCCGGAATTCCCGGGATTCCTCACGTGGTGGGAAGCGCTCTGGATCTCTCGGATCACGGCCTTGGAGTCGGCTTTCAGTGGGGAGGAGACCACGATGAATCCCACAAATCTCAGGTCGCATTCCAGGGATTCCCTCTTCATCTCCCGCACCTTTTCCATGGAAAAATCCGGGATTCAGCATTCCCAAGCCCCTTCAAAAGGCAAATTCCCTCCTCCCACCGGTGATTCCCGGGATTTGGAGCATCCCTGGAATGAGTTTAGCGCTCCCAAAAGCTTGAAGTGATCCCAAATTCCCAAAAGAAAAGGGATTTTCCCTGGAAAAACTCCTTTAAAAACCACAAATTCCACCCCTCCTTTTCCCAACCCTTCTCCCAGCGCTTCCCAGGCCTGGAATTCCGGGATTTTTCCCGTTTTTTTCACCTGCTGGTGGCTCAGGGCTCCCAGTTCTTTGTATCCCAGGGCCAGGACCCGCGCGCCCTCGTGGGAGAATTCCCGATGGATCTCGTGGTAGTTCCTGGGGCATTGGGATAACTGGGAAAAAAAAAACCAGGAAAACATTCCGTGAGTGAGGAAACTGAAAAAATTCCAGAGGGTTTTGGTGGAAAATTGGGAAAAATGAGATTTGAAGGGGAAAAGGAGGCGGGGATTTGGGAGAATCCGGGTGGAATTTGGGATAATTCAGGATAATTCCTTTAGAATTTACAGTCCCCACCCCTTTTCATCTCCTTGATCTCCCAAGATTCCCATTTTTCCCTGGAATTTCCCTCACCTCAGGGCCCGGGCAGCCATTTTGATCTCCCACCATTCCCAGATCTTCCTTCACCCCGGAATTTCCCTGGAATTCCTCTGGAATTTTCCCTCACCACAGGCTCTGGTGAACCTCTCTGACCTCCCAGCATTCCCAAATCCCCATTTTTCCACGGATTTTCCCCATTTTTCCATGGAATTTCCCCTGACTACATTTGGGCCCATTTTTCCCCTCACAGCAGGGCGGCCATTTTGTCCTCCTGGCATTCCCAATTTCCCATTTTCCCACCGATTTTCCCCGGAATTTTTCCCCTCACCATGGCCTGCAGGGTCTCCAGAGCATTCCCACCATTCCCAACTCCCTGTTTTTCCATGGAATTTACCTCACAGCAATCTCTGGGCCCATTTTTCCACGGAATTTCCCCTGCCTATGGGCACTGGGCCCATTTTTCCCCTCACCGCAGGGCGGCCATTTTGTCCTCCCGGCATTCCCAATTTCCCATTTTCCCACCGATTTTCCCCGGAATTTTTCCCCTCACCATGACCTGCAGGGTCTCAAGAGGATTTCACCATTCCCAACTCCCCGTTTTTCCATGGAATTTACCTCACAACAGGCTCTGGGCCCATTTCTCCCTGAAATTTCCCCTCACCGCAGGGCGGCCATTTTGTCCTCCCGGCATTCCCAATTTCCCATTTTCCCTCCGTTTTTCCCCGGAATTTTTCCCCTCACCATGGCGTGCAGGGTCTCGGGAGCGCCCTTGACGGCCGCCAGGTATCGGATTTCTCCGGAGGCGTTTTCCAGGGAAGCCAGCACCGCCATCCTCTTCAGGGCACTGGAGAAATGAAAGCGCTGGTGAATTCTCATTCCCGGAGTTTTTAGACTCCTCGGGAAAACTTTCTCATCTGGAAACAAAGGAAATCAGGAAATCCTGAAAGGGGGTGCTGGGAGGGAAAAGGGGGAATCGGGAATGAGGGGGGAAAAGAGGAATTTTGGGGTGGTTTGAAAGGGATTTGGAGGCATTTGGGTGGAATTCTGAGGGGTTCGGGTGGAATTTGGCGGGAATTTCAGGGAATTTGATGGAATTCTGGATAACTGTAGGGAATTCAGGAGGAATTTCGGACAATTTAGACGGAATTAATGGGAATTCGGGAGGAATTTTGGCTAATTTATACAAAATTATTGGGAATTCAGGTGGAATTCTGGATGGTAAGGATGGAATTCCGACGGATTTTCGTGAGGGCTTTGTGGGATTTTTGTGAGGATTTTGTGGAATTTTTTTGGCGAGGATTTTCTGAGGATTTTTTTGTGGTATTCTGTGAGGATTTTGTGGAATTTCTCTGGAGATTTTGGAGGTTTTTTTGGTCAGGGTTTTGGGGAAATATTTGGATTTTTTTTTGTGGGATTTTGTGGGACTTTTGAGAGGGATTTTAAGAAATATTTTGTGGGATTTTCTGGGATTTTGGGAATCATTTTGTGGGATTTTTCTGGAATATTTTGTGGGATTTTCTGGGATTTTGGGAATCATTTTGTGGGATTTTTCTGGAAGGATTTTGTGGGATTTTCTGGGGACTCTGTGGGAAATTTTGGGGTGATTTTGTGAGGTATTTTGTACCATTTTCTGTGAGGATTTTATGGGAATTTTGGCATCATGTGGTGGGATTTTTCTGGAAGGATTTTGTGGGATTTTTGGACGTGATTTTAAGAGGTATTTTGTACAATTTTCTGTGGGGATTTTGTGGGATTTTTGTGAAAGGATTTTGTGGGATTTTTTTGGGACTCTCTGGGATTTTTTGGGGTGATTTTAAGAAATATTTTGTACTATTTTCTGTGGGGATTTTATGGGAATTTTGNGGGAAATGGAGAATTTATGAGGGGAAAATGGGGGATTTTGGGGAAAAATGGAGAATTTTGGGGGGGAAATGGAGAATTTATGAGGGGAAAATGGGGGATTTTGGGGGAAAAATGGAGAATTTATGAGGGGAAAATGGGGGATTTTGAGGGGGGAAATGGGAATTTTTTGGGGGGAAAAATGGGGGATTTTTGAGGGAAAAAAATGGAGAATTTTGGGGGGGAAATAAAGAATTTATGAGGGGAAAATGGGGGATTTTTTTGGGGAAAAACGGGATTTTAGGGGAAAAAATGGTGAATTCTGAGGGAAAGAAATGGGGAGTTTTGAGAGAAAGAAATGGGGAATTCTGAGGGAAAACTGGGTGTTTTGGGGGAAAGAAATAGGGAATTTTTTTGGGGGGAAAAATGGGGGATTTTGGAGGAAAAAATCAGGAATTTTGATGGGGAAAAAATAGAGAATTTCTGGGGGAAAAATAGTTGGGAATTCGGAGAGGAAAAAATTGTGAGTTCTGAGGAGAAATTGGGAATTTTGGGGGGGGAAAAAAACCGGGAATTTTGAAGGAAAATCGGAAATTCTGAGGGGAAAAATTGTGAGTTCTGAGGAAAAATTGGGAATTTTGGGGGGAAAAATGGGAATTTTGAAGGAAAACTGGGAATCCTGAGGGGAAAAATGGGGAATTCTGAGGAGAAATTGGGAATTTTGGGGGAAAAATGGGAATTTTGAGGGAAAATGGGAAATTCTGAGGGGAAAAATTGTGAGTTCTGAGGGAAAATTGGGAATTTTGAGGGGAAACAAAAAGGAAAAAAAAAAAGGGAGAAAAGCTGGAACAACCCAAGCTCCTGTGGGAATCCCAGCCCGTCCGAAACAGGGATTTTTAACCCAAAAAAAGCTCACAGAGCTTGGCCAGGGCGATGAGGGAGGTGTTGACGGCCAGGGAGAGCTCGATGGGCAACTCCGGGGGCACCACGGACGTCAGGATCAGGGCACATTCCAGGAACAGGCGGTACTGGTTCCGACGGGGATCCTTGGTGCCTGGAAACACGGAAAAATGGGAAAAAACGGGATTAAAATGGGGTAAAATGGGATTAAAATGGAAAAAAACGGGATTAAAATGGGGTTAAATGGGTTAAAAATGGGGTAAAATGGGGTCAGGATCAGGGCACATTCCAGGAACAGGCGGTACTGGTTCCAACGGGGATCCTTGGTGCCTGGAAACACGGAAAAATGGGAAAAAACGGGATTAAAATGGGATAAAATGGGATTAAAATGGAAAAAAACGGGATTAAAATGGGATAAAATGGGATTAAAATGGGATAAAATGGGAAAAAATGGGGTTAAAATGGGGTTAAATGGGTTAAAAATGGGATAAAATGGGGTCAGGATCAGGGCACGTTCCAGGAACAGGCGGTGCTGGTTCCGACGGGGATCCTTGGTGCCTGGAAATGGGAAAAAATGGGAAAAAACGGGATTAAAATGGGATAAAATGGGTTAAAAATGGGGTAAAATGGGATAAAATAGGTTAAAAATGAGATAAAATGGGTTAAAAATGGGATAAAATGGGATAAAATGGGGTTAAAATGGGGTTAAATGGGTTAAAAATGGGGTAAAAATGGGATAAAATGGGTTAAAAATGGGATAAAATGGGGTCAGGATCAGGGCACATTCCAGGAACAGGCGGTACTGGTTCCAACGGGGATCCTTGGTGCCTGGAAACACGGAAAAATGGGAAAAAACGGGATTAAAATGGGATAAAATGGGATTAAAATGGAAAAAAACGGGATTAAAATGGGATAAAATGGGATTAAAATGGGATAAAATGGGAAAAAATGGGGTTAAATGGGTTAAAAATGGGGTAAAATGGGGTCAGGATCAGGGCACATTCCAGGAACAGGCGGTGCTGGTTCCGACGGGGATCCTTGGTGCCTGGAAACACGGAAAAATGGGAAAAAACGGGATTAAAATGGG